TCTCTCCAGTCCCAAACTGTACATTTTTTAAAAACTTTAAAAAAAAATTATTAGTTTTACTTTATGTGTTTGCATGTATTGCCTGCATGTAGGTAAGTGCACCCATATTGTGCAGTGCCGGAGGTGGACAGAAGAGGCTGTCAGATCCCCTGGAACTAGAGTTACAGACAGTTGTCAGCCGTGTGGGTGCTGGGATTTGAACCCGGGTCTTCTGCAAGAACAACCAGTGTTCTTAACTGCTGAGCCATCTCTCCAGTCCCCCAAATTGTACATTTTAAAAGGACTGATTTCATGTGGAATTTAACCTCAATGAAAAAAAGAGCCCAAGAAATCCTCCTTCAGGTTTGGGGACATAGCCCAGTGGCAAAGTGCTCATCTGGAACATATGAAGCCCTGAGTTAAATCCTTGGAACCACAAACAAAAAACAAAAAAATGTGGGAGACAATACTACAGAACTGTACACAACAAAAAGTACACCTGGGCAGGTGAGATGGTTCAGCGAGTAAAGATGCTTACCAACAAGACTGATGACCTGAGTTCAATCCCCAGGTACACAGTGGAAGGAGAGACTGATTCCCAAAATTGTCCTCTGACCTTCACACGTGCACTGTTGCACATGTGCATCTACATAAACACACACGCACGCACACATTCTAAAAACTTTTTTATAATGTATTTTATTATATGCTAATTTAAAAATCAGATGGGCTGAGATGTAACTCAATAGAGTGATTACCTTCCATAAGGCCCTGGATTTGACCCCCAGCACCTTATAAGCTAGGTGTGGTGAAGTACTACATAAGTAAGTTCAAGGCCAGCCTGGACTACATGAGACCCTGTCTCAAAAAAACAAAAGCAGGGCCTAGGAGATGACTCAGTGGGTGAAAATGCTTGCCCCACAAGCCTGACAACCTGAGTTCAAGCCCCTCAGAATCCATGTAAGAAGTTGGATGAAGTGGAGCACTGAATCTCAGCATACCTACTTCGAGGTGGGAGGTGGAGACCAAAAGTTCACAGGCCCACCTTCCCTGGTGCAATAGAAACAAAAGACCCTGCCTCAACCAGGTAAAGGCGAGAACCAACTCTAAAAGTTATTGTCTAACTTTCACACGCATGCCACCGCACATGTGGGCCCACACTCACACACACAAAACAAATCAATACAGCAATTAAAAAAAATAAAGTAAAATAAATAATCAGACTATCTGGGAAACTCAAATAGTCTACAGGCTGCAACAAATGAGTTTAACTATTACGAGTGTCATCTATAACTAAAATGGAGAGGGAGGGGAACTGAATGTGACGATGCATACCTGTAATACCAGCATTTGGAGGCTCAGCAGGAGGATAACAGTTCAAGACCAGCCTATACTACATACCAAGGCTTTGTATCAAACACATATACACACAAGGGGAAGTGGGGGGGGCAAAAGCTTATTACTGAATACTGCAAGGCTAACTGTATACAATTACTATAGCTGGCAATTCTGCTTCTCACAGGAGTAATTATGGACACTATTTGTCATGTTACTGGTTACATTAAAAAGTAAATATATTACAGGCAAAAAACAGTTCTTGCCAGGCGTGGTGGCGCACGCCTTTAATCCCAGCACTTGGGAGGCAGAGGCAGGCGGATCTCTGTGAGTTCAAGGCCAGCCTGGTCTACATAGTGAGTTCAGGTCAGCTGGGACTACAAGGAGACCCTGTCTCAAAAAGAAAAAAAAAAAAAAAAAAAAACAGTTCTTTTTTTTTAAAAAAATTTATTTCTTTTTATTTAATGTGTATGAGTGTATTGCTTGCATGTACGTGGGTGTACCCAATGTCATGCAATGCCCATGGAAGTCAGAAGTGGGTGTCAGATCCCCTGGAACTAGAGTTACAGACAATTGTTAGCCACCATGTGGGTACCAGGAATCGAACCCTGGTCCTCTGTAAGAGCAGTCAGAGCTGAGTCATCTCACCAACCTTCTTTCTTTTCTTTTTAAGATAGGGTCTTGAGTTGAAGAGATAGTTTAGCAGTTAAGAGCACACATTGCTCTTCCAGAGGACCCAAGTTTAATTCCCAGCAACCATGTTGGGCATCTTATAACTGCCTCTAACTCCAGCTCCTGGGGGATCTGATGCCTCTGACCTCCTGGGCACCTGTCCTCACATGCACATACCCTCACACAGACACATACATACACATAATCAAAAATAAAAACATATCTTTAAAAAAAGACAGGGTCTCATGTAGCCCAAGCAAGCCTAAAACTCACTACATAGTTAAGGCTGTTGAAACTCCTGATCCTTCTTCCTCTGCCATTAGAGTTATAGGATTTAGAGGTATGTGCTACCACACCCTCAAGAAAGATTTCTTACTCTCAAAGAAAGAATTGTTAAAATAAGGAAGAGGGGACTAGAAAGATGGCTCAGTGTTAAGAACACTTGCTGTTCCTCCAGAGGACCTGGGTTTGGTTCCCAGCACCCAAATGGCAGCTAACAATCATCTGTAACTCCAGTTCCAGGGGATTCAACGCCCTCTTCTGACCTTCACGGGTGTGCACTTACATATATAGACAATACACATAAAATAAAAATCATTAGGCCGGATGTGGCAGCACACGCCTTTATTCCCAACAGTCGGGAGGCAGAGGCAGGCGGATCTCTGCGAGTTCAAAGCCAGCCTGGTCTACATAGTGAGTTCCAGGACAGCTGGGGCTACAGAGGAACAGGCATGATCCTAGAACCTAAACTACAGATTCAGAGTTTATTTACTAATGTCCTTTTTGTATTTCAGGATCCGGTGTAGGACCCCATATTGCATTTACATCATGTGTCCCTTGACACTTTCCAAAATGCATTGGTTAGTTCTTTTTAAGGCTGTCTCTCAACACGGGTTTTGATTTCTCAGAACCAGACTGGCATTATAGATTCTAGGGGGAGGAAGAAGGAATAAAAGAAGTGAAATACTTTCTTATTGCATTATATCAGGAATAGATCAAGGAAAGTTATTAGTGGTAATGCCAACCTTGATCATTTAGTGAGGGTTGTGTGTGTCTGCTATTTCACTTTCCACATTACCTTGCTTTTCCATTTCCGTAATATGCCAGCATCTGGTCATACACATTAGAAATGGGCTGCCAAATCTGCCCCTCCCTGAATAGAATAAAAGCCTTACATCTTGGAGGGATGGTTTGTAGAAAGATATTCAAAACACTACATTGGTACTGGGCATAGTGGCACATGCCTGAAATCCCAACACTCTGGAGGGTAAAAGCAAGAGGACTATGAATTTGAGGTTTGTCTGGATGACAGAGTGAGACCCTGTCTTAAAAAAAACAAAACAAGGGCTGGCAAGATGGCTAAGCGGGTAAGGACACTTGCCACTAAGACTGATGACTCAGTTTGTTCCCAAGAATCCACATGGCAGAAGGAGAGAATCAACTCCCATAAGTTGCCCACTGACCTCCACATGTCCTCTAGGGATCTGAACACACATGCGCATGCACGAGCACACAAATACACAATAAATATATAAACAAAATTCATGGGGAAAAAAGTCATACTGGTTACCTCCTCTCCCCAACCACAGACCAACTCCATCCCCTCTCAATCCAGATTAATGTTACAGAACCCTAAGCTGTTTTCCCTCTCTGACCCACTCTCCATTCAGTGACCAGAGTTACTTCATGAATTAGATTCACTATCATGTTCCTGTTTAGGACCCCAAACCTAAGTACACCTTTAATCCCAGCACTTGGGAGGCAGAGGCAGATCTCTGTGAGTTCAAGGCCAGCTTGTTCTACACAGCAAGTTCCAGGCCAGCTGGTGCTACACAGTGAGACCCAGTCTCAAAACAAAACAACAAAAACTCATGACATGGTTTTAAGGGTCTCAAAACAATTTGCTTCTGGGGTCTGTATTTTTAGTCTCACCTCCTAAAACTACCTCTCAAGAATCCTCTGCCAGGGGGCTGGAGAGATGGCTCAGCGGTTAAGAGCACTGGCTGCTCTTGCAGGGGACCTGGGTTTAGTTCCCAACACATACACGACAGCTAGCAACCAGGGAATCTGACACCCTATTCTGTTTTCCATTGGCACTGAACAATATGACTGCACTTACACACATGCAGGGAAAAAAAAATATTCATACACATAAAATAATAATAAATAATTTAAAAGAAAAAAGGATTCTTGGCCAGACAACTGCCAGCCATTCCTTGAAAATATGTAAAAGAATAGCTGGACATGATGGCACATGCCTTTAATCCCAGCACTCTGGAAGCACAGGCAGGTGGATCACTGTGAGTTCAAGGCCAGCCTGTTCTACATAGACAGTTCCAGGCCAGCTGGGGCTATAGGAGGACCCTGTCTCAAAAAACAAACAAATAAACAAACAAACAAACAAACAAATAAAAAGATTTCTGTGGGGCTGAAGAGATGGCTCAGCAGTTAAGAGTTCTGACTGCTCATGGCGGCTAACAACTCTCTATAACTCCAGTTCCATCTATAACTCTAGTTCCAGGGGATTCGATGATGCTTCTTACCTCCAAGGGCACTGCATGACCTGGGTGCACCTACCTACATTCTGGCAATACATGCATACACATAAAATAAAAATGATAAATAAAATTTAAAAAAAGGCCAGGCGTGGTGGCGCACACCTTTAGTCCCAGCACTCAGGAGGCAGAGGCAGGCGGATCTCTGTAAGTTGGAGGCCAGCCTGGTCTCCATAGTGAGTTTCAGGCCAGCTGGGGCTGTAGGGAGACCCTGTCTCAAAAAGATTTAAAAAAAAAAGATTTCTGCTTCAATATTGTGCCTCAGACACTGAAGCACCAGGGCAGCACCTCAGCTCACAGATTCCAATTTGCAAGCCTCCTCTGTGCTCTCCTGTGGTTTCCTATTTGGCCAGTAGTCACTTCTCCTTCCTTCTAACATGGAAGGTTTTACCTCAGAGTTCTTGTAGCAGCAAAAAAGGACCATATATGTACAACACACCCAAGAAAAACAATACTTACAATGGAAGTAAACCAAGAAACCTTGAAACATTTATATGTGTATGTATGCATGCATGCATACACACCCACACGCCATGAGTCAAAAACATTTGAGATTTCTTTCTTGGCCTCTTGTCATGCCCAGTCATTTTAAAAGACTGCATCTGTCAGTTGTGGTAAAAAGCCAATGGATAGGCCCCATCTCTTCTGGTTAGCAGGTCTTTGAGCCTTTTATCTGAGACTCATTACGCCACTGCAATCCTCCATGCCATCCCTCCTTTCATACCCCCTCCCCCATGCATCCCAGATCTCCCTAGAGCACTAGACAGTCCTTCAGTATAAAATATTGTTCCTAAATTATGTCCCCAAGCAGACAAAAAGAACACAGAGTTCCACATCTATTAGATGACACATCCCCTGCCTACTAGTCAGTGTGCCAAAAACCATTTGCTTCTCTTCCTGTAGGTTTAAAAGAACACAAAGGGCACTGTGCTCCCATGTCCGACTACTGCTTCCTCAGGACTTGAAGACTTAAGGCATCAGAAACACTTCCTCTATGCAAGCCCAAACAGATGCTTTATTTCCTCTTAGCATATGGTTTGTGGTCTCTGTTTCAGGCAGTCAACAGGAACGTTCAGCAACTGTCTTCAGGATTCTCACTGCCAAGTTTCATCCAGTCACTGAAGGTGATGCACTGCTCCTTGAATTTACATGCCAAGATGACAACTCTTACTGAAAAGAAGACCTTCAGTATCATCTTCCTGCACTGTATCAAACTGTACAAGCAAGTTAGAGGAGCCAGATCCAATTTCCAGGTGCAGGCGTCTTGCAGTGTGATCTCTAGTCAGCTCTTTAATCTTTCTGTACCTCAGTTTTTCCATCCTGGAAAACAGGGATTGTATTACCTGTCTCTCTGTGAATTCTGACTCTTACTACTAAATGAGAATACTTATGTTCCTATACATTGTGAAACAACCAGAGTTTGGAAAATCTATCAGCACAAAAGTTTCTCACTTCTCTCAGATCTGTCCCACAGAAATCTACAGCAGAACCCAGCAGGAGTCCCTAAGAAAGTCATCCTCAGAGGGCAGTTCCGACAGCCCTCCACAAATCACATACCTAAGTAAGCCAGAGGCCCAAGCAGGACCTGAGGATGCTAGAAGGCTCTGTTGTCATCTCACCTCAGTAGTAAAGCACTTACTTTCTTCATCCTTTTTCTTCCTTTCTTTCTCACTTTCCTCCCTCCAAGGCTGGCCTGGAATTTTCTGTGTAACCCAGGCTGGCCTCAAACTCATGGGGAACTTCCTACCACAGCCTCCCAAATGCTGTGATTATAGACCTGAACCATGCCTATACTTATCTGATGCTTACCAAACAAGCACTTTCCCTGCAACAGTAATCCTATACAGGGTTGCCTTGGAGTGACCCTATGGTTAAGGCTGGACAAAAAGAAGTACAAGAAGCAGGACAATTTAACACAAAGGGCTGAGGCTGTGGCTCAGTGTACAGTTCTTGCTTAGCATGCATAGGCCCTTGATTCAATCCCCAGCACTGTGCACACACACACACACACACACACACACACACACACACACCACACAAACGTCTAGGTAGATATAATGGCACAGTAATCCCAGTACTTGACAGGCCACCTAGGAGGTGGAAGCGGGAAGATTAGGACTTTGAAGACAGTCTGGGCTATGAGGCTGTAAGGGAGAGGGGGAGGGAACAAGTAAAGGAAGGGAGACTAATTTAAGACAGTGTTTTACAGGGGCTGAACATGGCTCAGTGGGTAAAAGTGCTTTCTGTGCAAACATGAGTACTTGAGTTCTGATAACCAGCACTCACATAAAAGTCAGTGGGGCAGCGCACATTTGTAATCCAGTACAGGGTGGGGCAGAGACATGTAGGCTCACTGTCAAGCCAGTCTAGCAAAAACAGTGACCTCCAGATTCAGTGAAAAACTGTCTCAAAAAAATACAGTGGACAGAGGCAAAAGAAGACACTCAGCATCAACCTGTGCAACCACACGTACATACACACACACACACACACACACACACACACACACACACACGAGTATTACCTTTTTTTTTTTTTTTGTAGTTACTGGCCCATTTCTGAATATAAATTTTTGGACAGCACACCAAAACAGAATATTAAAATGCAAAAATGGGTAGAGGGAGGGGGGAATGGAGGGGACAAACAGACTATAGTCCAGATACTTGAGAGGCTGAGGTGAAGGATTACTTGTGCCCATGATCTGAAACTAGTGTGCATAATATAACCAGACCTTATCTCCACATATAAACAAACAAAAATAAATTAAAAACTCAACTTGGCAACTCTAATTATTACACTTTCCTCTGTGTGGCTACGAATAACACAGACATTTACAGTGCTGCCTAGGCTCCCCACAGACCTCCCCTCCTTTGTCTCCATAAACATTCACCTTTGGTACCAACTTGATGCTAAGTTCTATTTCTTAGCTATAGCAAGTTTTAGTCCCTGACAATACATCAAATGGCTACCAGTCTGCTCAACATTCTGGAAATCTGACAGCTATCTCACTGAATCCACACTATGATTCACAGTATGAATCTCTTTTTTTGGTGGTTTTGTTTTTTAATTACATTTATTTATGTATTTATTGTATGTGCATATGTGGTTGTGTACCTGCCACAGACTGTGTGTGTGTGTGTGTGTGTGTGTGTGTGTGTGTGTGTGTATAGGCCAGAGGACAATCTACAGGAGTCAGGTTCTCTCCTGCCATCATGTAGATGCTAAGAATTGAACTCAGGTCTTCAGGCTTGGTAAGGTGCCTCTACCACTGAGCCATCTTGCCTGTTTTGGGGTTTTTTGGTTTTGGAGGGCTTTGTTTTTGTTTTTTTTTTCTTTTTGAGACAGTGTCTCCCTGTAGCCCCAGCTGGCCTGGAACTCACAGAGATCTGCTTGCATCTGCTGGGATGAAAGGTGTGCACCACCACACCTGGCCCACCTGTTTGTTTGTTTGTTTTTAATATTTTATTTACTATTTTTATTTTATGTGTATGAGTGCATTGCCTGCATGTAGGTAAGTGCACCCATGTCATGCAATGCCCGTGGAAGACAGAAGAGGCCATGAGATCCCCTGGAACTGGAGTTACAGACAGTTGTTAGCTGCCATGTGGGTGCTGGGATTTGAACCCAGGTCTTCTGCAAGAACAACAAGTGTTCTTAACTGCTGAGCCATCTCTCCAGCCCCCCAACCTGTTGTTTTTTGAGACAGGATCTTATGTAGCTGGCTGGCCTCAAACTCACTATATAGCTGAGAATGGCCTTGAGCTCCTGATCCTCCTCCTCTACTTCTGAAGTGTCAGGATTATAGTAAGCCATTTCATCAGGCTTCATATCATCAATCTCAAGATACACTTTATCTCCTGATCAAAATGTAGCAGATGGGCAGGTAGGTAGGGCACACCTTTAGTCCCAGCAGAGGCAGGTAGGCAGATCTCTGTGAGATCAAGGCTAACCTAGTCTACACATTCAGTTCCAGGCTAGCTGGGGGCTACAAGAGAACCCTGTCTAAAAAAAAGAAAGGGAAGAAAAGGAAAAGGAATGACTTTTGTGAGTGCACCCTACAGCACTGTCTAAAAGAGATGAAGAACTAGACATGGAAAGTAGGGACTCATGTCTCCTTGTATGTCAAATGATAACATCTACTTTATGACCTTACTGTGAAGATTTTTTTTTTAATATTTATTATTTTTGTTTTACCTGTATGCGTGTATTGCCTGCATGTATGTAAGTGCACCCGTGTCGTGCAATGCCTGCAGAGGACAGAAGAGGCCCTTGGATCCCCTGGAACTGGAGTTTCGGACAGTTGTTAGCTGCCATGTGGGTGCTGGGATTCGAACCTGGGTCTTCTGCAAAAACAGTCAGTGTTCTTAACCACCGAGCCATCTCTCCAGCCCCATATTGTGAAGATTTATAAGAGTATGAAGGGGCTGGGCTGGAGAGATGGCTCAGCAGTTAGGAGCACTTGCTTGTCTTGCAGAGGACTCAAGTTCAATTCCTAACACATGGCAATTCACAACAATCTGTACCTCCAGCTCCAGATCTGATACCTTCTTCTGGCCTCCACGGCACTCCACATACACCAGGTACACACACACACACACACACACACACACACACACACACATCTAATTAAAAATAAATAAGAGTATGAAGCCAGGTGTGGTGACATACACCTATAATCCCAGCATTCATGAAGTAGAGGCAGGAAGATCAGGGGTTCAAGATCATCCTGAGCTCTCAGTTACATACTGAGTTTGAGGGCAGCCCAGGTAACTTGAAACCCAGTCTGGAAAAAAAAAATCATTTTGTTAACATATTTATAAAATATATTCTGAGTCCATCTCAAATCACTGAAAAGCAGCATCTCCATGTAAGAGGCTGAGGCAGGAGGACTACGAATTAAAAGTCAGCCTGGGCTGCACAGAAAAAGAGACCCTGTTTCAAAACACAAAATAGCAACAATAAAGCAGTAGCTCTGCCTTTCACTGGATAGAAAATGAGCTCTAGCCTCGACAGGACAAGAGGTAAACAGAGTCAGAAATGAAGAAGTCTATATAGTGTTGTTGGGACATGGAACTTAATTTCACATTTGGAATTAAAAGTAGAAAGTCAGGGTTAGCAATGTCTCAATGGTTAAACACTGGCTGCTCTTGCAGATGACCCAGGCTCAATTCCCAGCACCCACATGACAACTCACAACTGTCTCTAACTCCAGTTCCATCAGATCCAGCAGATATCTTTTCCTGGCCTCCATATGCTTGCACAAATGTGGTGCACTTACATACATGCAGGCAAAACACTCATACACATAAAAATATTTATATTAAAAATTAATTTTAAGCCAGGTGTGGTGGTGCACGCCTGTAGTCCCAGTACTTGGGAGACAGAGGCAGGCGGATCTCTGTGAGTTCAAGGCCAGCCTGGTCTACATAATGA